TAGGGGCTTAGTGAATATTCAAATGGGTAAACAAATGGCATGAACATTTCCTCTGTGATCTTTGATTCAGTGGCCAAGTCAAGTACAGTTATGTGGGCTTGTTTTTCACAAAAGGAATCTTCAAGTGGAATCTTAATTCTTTTTTGACTTGTTAAATATTAATTTAATAATGATTGTCTACCATGTACTAGACACTTTAGGTTTTTAAATGTTTCTCTTTTTGCCATCTTATTTCATCCAGGTGGTATCTTTTTTCCTTACAAAAAACACAATTCAGCTAAGGCATTCAAATGTTGTTACCTTGTCTCATTTAGAAATGTCTCTGAGAATCCAGGAAAGACTTTAACATCAGTGTCCTGAACCCCATGCACCTGTGCTTATAGGATGTTCTGCTTAATAACATCTCTGTAATTACCTTTCAGACATTTAGACTTTTTTGAAATGCTCCGAAATGAAGATGAGCTAGAATTTGCCAAAAGATTTGAACTGGTATGTGCATTTATAGGTGTTCTGATTTGCCCCTCAGCTCACAAATCCCCCCACCCCATCGTGTGTTAGCAGAGTTGGCATGGACCCATGTAATCTACAAATGAAATCAAAGTTCTGTTTTCTTACCTAAGTGGGAGGACTATTTTCTGTTTGCCTTGAATTTACTTACCTTGCACAGGGGGACCTGATGAACTTGGATGTTTGACTTAGAATTTTTTCCCTATAAAACAGGTTCACATAGACACAAAAAGTGCAACTCAGATGTTTGAGCTGACCAGGAAGAGGCTGACTCACAGTGAAGCCTACCCTCACTTCATGTCCATCCTGCACCACTGCCTCCAGATGCCTTGTGAGTGTGTATGTGGCTTCCAGGCGGGGGCAGACATTCAGGCAGTGCCCAGCGGGCTCCAGCTCCTGGCAGGTGCTGATTAGATTGAGTGCACACCAGGGATTCTGAGCTTGCTTCTGTGACAGCTCCATGTGTATCTCCACACAGCCTAAAGGGTTTTACGAAATTCCGAACACGAAATGAGTTAAAATTTTAATTTCAAAAATAACGTATGACTTACAACAAACACCTTTAAAAAGGGGTAGAAAGTGCCTCTGAATCAAATAAATGATCGTTGCTTTGCAGAATTCCAGAATCCTTGGGAAGTAGTAGTATGGGTATTGTAGACATCTCTCTGGCTTCAAAGGTAACTACTGTTGAAAATATACCTCTTAGATGAGAAACAACTTGAAAATTTTTCTTTTTGCTATTCCTTTGTTTTTTAGACAAGAGAAGCGGCAACACTGTTCAGTACTGGCTACTGCTAGACAGAATCATACAGCAGATAGTTATCCAGAATGACAAAGGGCAAGACCCCGACTCCACACCTTTGGAAAACTTTAATATTAAGAACGTCGTTCGGATGTAAGTCTCTTCTTATTCCGCTGCCTGTGGGACAGTGGGGACAAAGTAAGACATTTATTTTTTCCTACTTCAAAATAACAGCTCAGAGAACTGAAATGTTTGAGGGATCAAATGACTTACTATATATACACCTGCAGTATATCTAAATAACATCTGGGTTTAAATGGGTTTTAAGTGTGCACTGAGGGTTTTCTCTGCCGTAGACTATTTTGTACCTAGGGAGAATGCGGTTAGTAGTGGACCTTTTATGCTTTTTTGTAATGAATGCTCCTTTAACTATTATACAGGCTGGTTAATGAAAACGAAGTTAAGCAGTGGAAAGAACAAGCAGAAAAAATGAGAAAAGGTAAATGATGAGACCTGATGACAGAAAAGACCGTGTTTTTGATTATAGGGTAACCCTGCTTCCTATGTGCCTTAGAAGTGTGCATTGATGTGCCTTGTTGACTTTAGTTCAAGAGCCTTTCTTTTTCCGTGCCTTAAGGGAATTTTTCACTGGCCTTTTTAAAAATTCAAGCTATTTTAGTTACCATACTGATTCCCAACTATCCTATCCTTTTATTATAATTGCGTAAATTTTTTTGAAAAGCTTATAGCATTTACTGTCCGATATTCATTAATTGAAGTTTTCTCAACTACTAATGATCCAAACCCTTCCCCCACTTCTTAATAGCTCTTTAGAGCATACTAGAGCTTAAGAAATATAATAAGAGACACTTAGATTACCCACAAGTTTAAAAGCAAAGAAAGGGCTGCTTGGTTTCAGCAGCCCAGTTTTCTCGATGACCTTGATTTGGTACCAATTGTAAAAAGTGAAATCATGCAGAAAATCAGTGACCCTCACAGAGATCTATGTTATGAAACATTAATAGGCCAGCTGGGAGTGGGCACTGGAACATGTCTTTGACATTATTACTCAGCATCAAGTGACGAGAGAGGCATTTGCATCCATCGCTGTTCCAGCCACTCACAGAAACATATATATAACTTTTCTCCCTTTTTCAAAATATTAGCAAATTGAAATTGGCCCCTTTGTGAGAATAATTCTGCTCGTGACACCACACTCTCACCACACTGGTGGACTGACTCCCTTTTCCGTGTCCAACTTATCCATTCACAGCCAATGAAATACAGTCACACCCACCATTGATACCACAAAACATCAAATGTGAAGTAGTATCAGGTCGTACGTTCCTCGTGTGGAGGTTGCTCTCAAATAAGTGATGATACACATGGATTTTTCAGATAAAGTCCAACAACTTCCATAGACAGAATAGAAATGTTGCCTAAAAGTTAGGGTAAAGAGAAATTAAACTAAAGAGAAAGTGGTCACCAAGTGGATGTTGGCTCTCCACAGAGCAGGGAGAGTACTTAGGACGTGAACGGTGGAGTGACTCATTCAGGCACTTGGTGTATCGCGTGCCTGTGTCTGTCAGGTGCTGGGCTGGGCTCTGGGTCTGAGCCTCAGCTCTGCCCCACTAGTGTAGGGCTGGGCCACTTCCCCTCCTCGTCCCTCTCCAAATCTCCTCCTCGGCAACCTGAAGATTAAACCCAACTCACAGTGTTGTGAAAACTAAATGATAAAGCAAAAATAAGAACATAAGCATAGTGTCTGGTGTGTATTAGCTACACAATAAATCAAAAGCTTGTAGCATTTCAAAAGCTTGATTCAGGTGGCTGAGGTGGTGCAAAGAAAATCCGCAAGGGCAGCGGGAGAAACAGGACACTTTGTTTTACTTTGTTTTGTTCTGAGTCACCCTAGGTCGAGTGTCCTGGCGTCATCATAGTTCATGGCAATCTCAAGATCCTAGGCTCAAGCAATCCTCCTGCCTTAGCCTCCCAAGTAGCTGGGTCTATTAGGCACCCACCATAACACCCGGCTAGTTTTTTTTAAAGTAGAAACGGGGTCTCACTTTTGCTCAGGCTGGTCTTAAACTCCTGAGCTCAAGGGATCCACCTGCCTTGGCCTCCCAGAATGCTAGGGTTACAGGTGTGAGCCACCACACCGGGCCAGTAGAATGGTTTGAAGTGAAGCCATGAGCAAAGTATAAAAGAGGAAAAAATGTGGATAAAATTAATTTTTATCTGGAGGCTTCAGCCAGCAAGGCTTTGCTGAGTAGGGCACGTGTGAGAAGATGGAGGGTACTCCAGGAGGCTCCGCTTTAGTGCCGCACACTCAGAAGGTGCTCGGGGAAAGCTGAGCACCAGGTGGTGGATGGAATGGATGTCATTTGTGGAGAGAGCCCTTCAGGCTCAAGCTTTCCAACCCTAGCATCACATCAGGACCGTTTGAAAACACAAGATTCCTAAGTCCTGCCCCTGAGCTATAGAGTAGACCCCTTAGAATAGAGTCTGTGGGACCCTGAAATGCTAAAACTTCTTGGGGGACTCTGGCACGGCCAGATTTGTCAAAGGCTGATGACCTGTGAGAGGAAGGTGAGTTCCTAGTCCTGTGTTTGTCAAGAGGAATCCTGAGGAGGTGAGAGAAGGAGAATGGCACAGAGGGAGGTCATCTTTGGATGCATATTTGAAGAAACCAGGGAAGTGACCATAGAGTGGTAAAGGTGGGTTGATGTTTCTCTTAATTCCAAGGCTGATAAAATCCAAGGATTTTAGTGGCTTGAATGCCTCTCCACAAATCAGATTTTTAGGGACCCAAGAGAGAGAAGGTGACAGACAAAGAAAACAAGAATTTAAATGTGTTAAAAAAAAAAAAAAGAAAGAAAGAATTTAAATATGTTATTCAAATTTAGAAATAGAGACCAGCTCTACACAGCTCTGCCCCATGGATTATATCTCTAGCGGATTTATTGACATAAAAAGAATCAGAATTGAGGCCACATCTTTGAAATAAAAATCTGCAGCCTGAACTCCGTTAGTTCTCTTGTCCAAAGCTGCTCATGCCTGTCGGCAGCTTTCAGTCACTGGCGTGTGAGCAGCGCGACACTGGGGCAGGGCGGGGACGTTAGCAAGCTGGCATTGAGAGCTGACATTGTCACTTTCCCCTGATCCTCAAGCTCAACCGACATGACTGCCCTTAAAACCTTTACTCATTCGCTTCCCATGTCTTACTAATTGTTGGCCAGAAACATAAAATACTCCAAGTAGCCTCAGGAGGGGGAGACGGGACAAACCCAGTCTTGTAGCAGCTCTCCCAGGGAGGTCCACCCTCTGGCACCCCAAACCTGGACTTCTCTTGGCCGCCTCCTTCTCTGTGAAAAGGCTGTCACATTCATTTTCCTTAGTGTCGTTCCTCAGGGCCATTTTATTGACAAGTTCTGGATTAACTCCCCAGTGGGCACCGTTTGCCTTCACGAGGGTGGGCTCAAACCTTTGTTTCATGGTTAGGGCTGCGGCCATGGAGTCTCTGCTTCAGTCTCTCACAAAATGAAGCTACTAAAGTTGTTCATCCCAAGCCCCCTCCAAGCAGAAATACCACTTAGCTCTCGAGAGGCTCCTTTGAGGGGGAAAAGAAATAACATTTACCTAATGAAGAGCCCGTGGTACCTGCTGCCATCCTGAGCCATTTTCTCTAAAGAGCCCGTCTTTCAGGCATGATTGTTTTCTTGTGCAGAGCACAGCGAGCTGCAGCAGAAGCTGGAGAAGAAGGAGCGCGAGTGTGACGCCAAGACGCAGGAGAAGGAGGAGATGGTGCAGACCCTGAACAAGATGAAAGAGAAGCTGGAGAAGGAGAGTGCTGAGCACAAGCACGCCAAGCAGCAGGTGGCGGAGCTCGCGGCCCAGCTGCAGGAGCTCAGCCGGGTGGGTGTGGTGCCCAGCACCGGCCGCTGCCAGGGCCGGCCAGACCCTGACCCCCAAGCCCATGTCCCGTGAGCAGACAACTTCTACCTGGGGGAACAAAACCTGACAGTTCGTGCTTGATTACAGCAGTTTGGGAACCAGTGCCCTCTGCCACCAGACAGGTTAAGCAGCCAAGGTTTGGGCTATGGGTTTGTGAATTCTGCACAAATCTTCCACTTAGAGCAAAGGAAATTGAATCAGTTTTTTAAAGGGAAAACTGATTTCATGGACACCAACCGTACAATGGTGCAAGAAATAAGAGAAATATGAGTGCTTGGCAGACAAGCCCTTGAGCATCAGATACAAAAGCGTGACTCAGTAGAGGCCACGATGGCCCTAAAAGGAACATTTGACTCCCCAGGTCTCAGAAACATGAATGTCTTCATAATAAACTTTTCAGGCACAGTTAAAGACTGAAAATCACCAGCGACTTTCCTCCTGCCATTGACGTTTTCTTTCCTGTTCTTATCTTTTCAGAGGGCCATCTGTGCTTCAGTCCCAGGGGGACCCTCACCTGGAGCCCCAGGGGGGCCCTTTCCTTCCTCTGTCCCTGGGTCTCTCCTTCCTCCCCCACCGCCTCCTCTTCTCCCAGGTGGGGTGCTTCCTCCCCCTCCACCACCCCTGCCCCCAGGGGGCCCTCCTCCCCCCCCAGGGCCCCCTCCTTTGGGAGGACTCATGCCACCACCTGGGGCTCCACTGGGTCTGGCACTCAAGAAGAAAAACATTCCTCAGCCCACAAATGCCCTGAAATCCTTCAACTGGGCCAAGCTGTCCGAGGTAAGCCATTTGCTCTATGTGAAGGGAAAGACAGTCCTGCCTACTGGATGATTTCACTTTTCAGTGCTGAGGAGGGTTCTCACCACCTCTGTTATTTAAATTATAAAGCTTCTGAAATAAATGACCCGTTGTTTGAAACCAGCTCACTTCGAGCATCTGGGAGACTTAACAATTTGGGATAGCAGCACTTTTTAAGATAGGCCATCCCTGTTCTTTCTGTGTATAACTGTATACCACAGCACTTATTAACTTGGTGTTTCTAGAACAAACTGGAAGGAACCGTATGGACCGAAATCGATGATTCAAAAGTCTTCAAAATTCTAGATCTTGAAGACCTGGAAAGGACTTTCTCTGCCTACCAAAGACAGCAGGTAACACCATATAGTCTCCAGATGCCAGAAAAGTTAAACAAACAAACAAAAAAATCATGTGACATCCATGATTCCTGGCCCATCACCCGTGACCGTGACCTCATGAGCATCTTAGTCCAGGCTGCTGGGTCTGCCCTGGTGTGTCCCTGTAGAGCCACCTGGAGTCGTGTCCGTGTGTATGTCCCAGTGCCTTTCAGTTGCGTGTGAACAGTTGAAAGTACTTAGCTCCTTGTTCATAACCTGGCATGTGTCCAAGATCTTGTCTCCATTGTTGTAAAGAGTTTTGTATGTTACTGTCACTTGTGTTTCGTCACAATGGGTCACCAGAAGAGAATTGTAGGAGAGTTAGAAAACTTACATTGACACATTTTGGTTTATCTGAACTTTAAAAAAATACATATCAAATGGGTACTATCAGAAGCAGAATGTTTCCTGAAATGGACAGAACCCTTGGAAATATAGGGCTGGTAAATAACTCTGATTTGGCAGCTCAATAGAACCTCGAGAAGTTTTAGCTGTCTGTGATAAACACAGCAGACTCAGTCAGGTTGTGAAGGCTGATCAGGTATGGAGCTGACAGGCACAGACAGGACGGCTGAAGGCTGAGCAAGGCTGTCCGATGACAGCGCCGAGGGCGCGCGTGCGTGCGTGCGTACATGCGTGCGTGCGTGCTGGCTGTCCCTGCAGCGAGCGTCCCTGTGCCAGCCTGGTTGAATCTGTGTGGCACCTCATGCTCCTCACGGGGGAATCTTGATACAGCCTCTGAAGATTGCACCAGAAGAGATGGCAGCATGGTGGCACACGGAGAGTTTCAGATCAAGGAAGAAGCAGAATTGTATCCCTGGGAAGGGCAAACTCGAGTGCAGAAGTAAGAAGAAGGATTGTTGAGGACGACTGGAGGAGCAGAAGGATATAGAGCAGAGCGCACCTCAGACAGGAGCTCATGGGCACTGAGCCCCTCCCAGGGCTGCTGGGATGAGTCCTGTCCAGGGTGGGGCATCTTCAAATGAGCAGCAGACTCCTAATCGGCCTACTTGGCTTGGTTCCCAAGGAAAAGTATCTCAGGAAAGCAATGCTGAGCACCCAGAGAGAACATGGACGGAGGGTGGGGAGAAAGCTTTGGTGTGTCTGAAATGGGGGCGGGGTGTATACATACTTTGCTGTTTTCCTTTAAGAGAGAGTAAGTCTCTCTGTAGGAGTTTATTGTTTTTATGTTTTGTTTTGTTTTTGGCTTTTTTGAAACAAACTCTCTCTGCACCGTCACCCAGGCTGGACTGCAGTGGCACAATCGTAGCTCACTGACTCAAGCAATCTTCCCCTCACAGTCTCCCAAGTACCTGGGACTATCGGTGTGCAGCACCACACTCAGCTAGGTTGTTTTTTTTTTTTTTTTTTGCAGAGACAGGGTCTCACAATGTTGCTGAGGTTTGTGTTAATCTCCTGGGCTAAAGCAGTCTTCCCACCTCAGCCTCCCAAAGTGCTGGAATTACAGGCATGAGTCACTGGCCAAAGTGCCTTTTTTGCTAGTTGAGTAAAAAGTACAGAAATGTATGTGGCTATCTGCCATGGTGGCATAGCCTGTGAACAGGACCCCTCAGCTGGGGCACCCCCATGACTGAGAAGGCAAATTTGTACAATGTTCCATACACCAAATAAAGGAAAACAAAGACAGAGAAGGTAGGGCATTGTCCCATAGAGAGCAGGATGCCATGTCTTTCCAAGGACAGACAGCCAGTGCGTGTGTGGCCCTCAAGGCCTGTGCTCTGCCCAGACCCCACATTGCTACCACCTGCCTCTCTCTCTGCCATCCCAAGATGGTGTCCTCATGTCTCCACATGAATTGGAGACATGTATGGCAAGTTCCCTGGCAATGGTCTTCTGAGCTGGGTACACATCCCATTGCTTTCCCACTTCAGTGTCAGCGGCTAATGCTGGCTCCTGCCGGTTGCCCTAAGAGGAAGGGTTAGAAGCTTGAGAAGGAAATTAAAGGGAGGGAAAGCATCGGTTACACCAGACGATGCTGTTCAAGTCCAAGCATGCGAGCTGCATTTATTATAAAGACAGGTGGTTGAAAGACCTAAGTTTACAAGACTCATAATTAGCTGGCTTTCAGCAGAAGGTGCAGAGGATGCTGCCAAAATGCTCTGGGACAAATACGTGGATGGTTCTCAAGCATTCTGGGAGACAGGACTGCAGAAAGCCTAGCACTTGGGTAACCGCCCCCTAGCAAGCCACACTGCTGCAGTAGTCAGTAGGCATTCCAGCTGGGAGAGGCCAGCACGTTTTGGTTGTACTTACCATTAAGTAGACTAGTAAGTAGAGTCAGTTCTGACCATATTTTTGATAGCACCTCCTGGAGAAAAGTTTCAACGTACCTACTCAACTTAAATAATTCAAGTGTATTTTTTTCTTTGGGTGTAAAAATTTGAGATAGGAATTTTATACCATAAATATATTTTCTAAATGAGGGTAATATGAACCATTTTATCAAATTGACAGAAGGTTGAGAGATAGCAAATCCAAAGTTGTGGACATTCCAGCTGAATTATGGAGGCCAGAGTACAGGAAACAGGATGCCTGTCATCTCACCACTAATGGAGACGTCAGAGACCTGGCCTTTTCACCTTCGTCCTGACAGTGCATTACATAATTCACTTGAACTGCTCTTCTTTTCTACTCCCAAGTGAAGACTGAGGACCTAAGTTGTTCACGTTTCCCTCTTCCCTCCCTCTAGAGTTGAGAAACCCTTTCTAAACTCATGCAGGATGCAGCCTACACAGAGAAGAAAAATACCAGCAGTATCAGATGAGTACAGTTTAGTGGTTACTGAGGAATGATGCTTAGAGCATACATACATGCATATACACGCGCCAATATAAATACATGTACATATATGTTTACACACTCAAACAGAAAATATGTCCAGTTGATTGGAGAAGTATTGTATCATTCATTTATAGGTCTGCTTTATATAAGAAGGATGCACATATATAAAACTTTTACACAGGCCTATGAGGTAACTTATGGTACAAACACAGAGAAGAGAAAAATGTATAAATAACCATCATACAGACTAAAAGGTGATAATCAGTATTAAGTCTCCATTATATTTCTACACCCAGTTCCCAGTCTCTTTAAGATTTAGTTCTCAAGGAGCCCTTATACGTATTTTCTTATTTAATGCTCACCCCCAACACTATGAGGCAGATATTATTCCTATTTTATAGGTAATAAAAATATGACTCAGGGTGTATTTAGTGACTGCAAAGTAGCATAATCCTCAGTTTCACTTTGCTCTTACTCCATAGTTTTATTCATCGTGAATGTCAGACTTGGCATAGGATTTTCTTTAACTCCAGTTTTAAGAACAAGACCACTTCTATTCAGATTTTTTTTTCACGGTGAATTTCAAAGGTGTGCAGAGCTGATTATGTAAACTTATATGCCCCATAAAATAGAATTTAATAGAATGCAGTTATTCCCCTGCTCACATTCCAAAAGTTCATTTGAAAGTCAGTTCCCTGGCTCCCAGGACCTCTTTTTCTCACTGAAACTATGTTATACTTGATATTCCAGGCCAGTCACAGAGTCTTATTTTAATACACAGTATAGCACGTTGCATTGTAGTACTAGTTCAGGTATAATTAAATAATATTTATCTCAGTTTTGTGAGATATGTTTGTGCGGAGATGCTGTAAATTAATTTCTCCCTATTCGTGAAGTTAAATAGAGGGGAAATGAACCTGAGCGAGTCCTGTCTCTATAGCAGCAAATGGACAGCTCACTGTCTTTTCCTTCCTCCTGGGCTTTGTCTGTGGACCACCCTTAAGGATACATCAGTATTTTGTGTGACTTTTCAAAGCCTCCCAGCTCTGATTTGGAGGGAAAAGGGTGACTGCTATCCCAGCTCTGGAATCCGCCCTTCCTGCTAAAACGTCACATACAAGACGTTTGGGGCTTCCATTTAGAACGTTCAGGGACGTCTCCTGATTTTATATAAATCCCCAAAGACTTTTCCTTTTTTATTTTTACATTTTTCATTATACCGTACAGCTAATTTTCACCTTGAAAATCAGATGATTTAGGCTATTTATTTCAATAATTTTGGTCCTTAGCCATGGCACATGAAGACAGAAGAGAAAATTGTAAATAGTGGTTTTCTTAGGGCCAGAGTTCTGTAACTGGCTCCATGTTAAGTTAGTCAAATGCAGGGTTTTATGTAAATACAGTACATGAATTTTTCTGGAGAGAGACCCCTACCTTTTATCAGGTTTACAAAGATATGTCGACCTCACAAAGATTAAGAATCATTCATGTCAGGATTATCCTGTCAATGAAGTGTTGAGCCAGCTTTTCATTCTGGAGCCCTATCTGTAGCAACCCATCAGCCCTGCTTCCTGAAAATGCAAGTTCCAACTTTTATTTCTATTTCAAGCCCTAAGCCTTATACCGAAAACTGTCTGGAAAAATCAGACAGTGGTGGAGCCACATATATGTGATTCTATAGTTTTTAACCCAAACCAATTTGAAGTTATTTGTTATTTTCCTCTGAGTCGTGAGTGAATTAATTTAAGCTTTCAAAAAGAATGTTAACTTGCTTGAAATTGGCCTAGAAGAATTGTTATTCTAACATACCCCATTCAATGGAATTCATAAGCTTTGAAATTTTATTTATAATGTGTCGGTTAAAGAAGTAGAGTTAACAATTCTACTTTAGGTTAACAATTAATCAAACTCTTGCTTCATCTACACCTCAGGGAAGATGAGACGTGTTACTTCCCTCTTAACTGCTGTGCTTGCTGCTACTGCTGGTTACAAATGGGAGCTCTTGACCAGCTGTTCTCTAGCTTAGCTGAAAGCAAAGCAAGAGGAGAATGAATGGACTTGTCAGCTTGAAAGATAAAATATAGTAGAACCTCTTACGTTGACCCCCTCCCCACCCCCACCCCGCCCAGGAACTGTAACAAACTGGTCAACAAAACAGAGGTGGTCAACATTAGGAACTAGGCCTGCTGTGCTGATATGTATACATGGTGCATGTCCCATCTGTGAAAATTAGGTCAAGGTAAGGAGGTGGTTAGCTACGGAGGTTCTACTGTAACGGTATTATCATAGTTTCCAAGGATTGAGCTGATGGTATGTGTCAGCTGCTGTCTGAAATGCTTTACACCCATTGTCAGGCTTCATCCTTACAATAGTAAGCCAGTTGTTAACCCATTTTACAGACAGACTGAGCCCCAAGCCCCACACCTAGGATGTGAAAGTTGCCTGAATTAATAGCTATCTACGCTAGAGGTCACAAGTCTTAATTTCCTGGCAGTGGAAACTTAAACTGTAGAATGAGTTGTCAGAGAACTTCATAAAATTTCATCCTTGAGGCGAGGCAGTGAAAGCAAGGTCTTAATTTAACTAGCAACTTTCTCTTTAAGAGAAAAAAACAGGTTAAGATGACCTCATGGAGTTCATTTCACTACGGTCTTTTCTGCCCTTGAAAGAAAATGGTTTTATAGGAAGAATCCTAAGGAGCCTCGAAGTAGGAAAATTAGCAGTTTATTACAGGAATGAAAGGAAACTGGGATGTCAGAAGAATATCAAGGCTTTTTAGTTATCATTTTACTTTTTAAATGCCATTCTAGAAAAGCAACTCATTGTGTAGAGCAAGAAGAGGACACATTCTGTTTCCCACTAGAAGAATTCCATGGGACAGCCTATCTATCTGTATACACCTGGCTTTGGCAGTGCCGCTGAGACCAGTGCGACCTTAAGGAATCTGCTGAGCAAATGTTGTTTGTGCAAGCTGTTGGCCCCAAAGCTGGGGGTGTGTTTTGCACACTGAAGTTTTATTCATTCCAGCATCTCAAAAATATGCAACCAAACTTTCTCATAACATGTCGATTACCTGTTCCTCTTTCCCTTTCCATTCCAAGTCTTCCCTAAAGACTGTTTCCAGAAGAAGCTGTTGACCTTGTATATTTGAATAGCCCGAGGCAGTTGGGCCAGGGCCACCAGTGACCATACACCACATGAACGTTTGGTGGTCTCTCAGCTGTGTGCTCTGGTTTTTTCCCTCTTAACCTACCTGTATCACCCACAGGTAATCTTTGGAACTTACAGGGCTACGAAGGCTTAATGTTACTGACTACAGTTATTCAACTAGTCTTTTCTTAATTCTTAATTCCTTATGACACAAGAAGATAGGAGATAATTTCCACCAAAGTCACATACTTTTCTGTAGTACATAACAAATGAGAACACTTTCCTCAGATTGATGGGATGGACGGATTGGGATTCCACTTCAAGGAGACGTCATCACGGGGAGTGATTTGTTCCTTTCCCAGCTTGAGCCTCTCTGGGTTGTTTTAAACCCTCTGCTTTTCTGAATATGGCGTGCAGCAAGTGCCATCACCTCCCTCAACCCCCAGTGCTTCATCCTGAGCCCTTTCCTGCATCTTCAGCCAGCCTTTCTCATCTTCATCAACTCTCGTTGATGACCTTAGGGGCATGAGTCATCTCTTCCCCTGCATCACTGACTTCCTCTGACTTGCCCCCATTTGCTGCTGTGGTTTCTGAACTGTGTGTCTGATTTGCCTTTTCCATGCCTCTGCCATGGCTGTAGGATTTCTTTGTGAACAGTAACTCCAAGCAGGTAAGTGAGCTGCTGTCTAAACTCTGCTTAATATAATCCTTGGCTCACTGTAAGCTTGAAATTTCTTGGGTATGCAATTGTTTTCTTTTGTTTGTTTATTTGGGTCTTTTTCCTTAGATAATGTATTGCAGTGCCTGGTTAACTCCACAGTGGATTTCCACTCTTAACTGAGTGTCTAGAGAGGTATGCCTGAAAGTTCAGCACAGCAAGAGGCAGGTGACCCCTGATGACGCTGTACCCCTATGTCTCACGCGGCCTTTGTTTCCTAAACTGTTACATAGATCCAGAACTCTTTGCTTTCCTTACATTTTTTAAATGCTGTAATATACTTTTTATAATAATTGATTTTGCTAATAAAATCAAAATTACTGTTTATCAAGTTAGTCTGTGTTTTTACCTTGAACTTTCTATTATTAATCAATTCCTCTGATGCCCGTTTCACTCAAACATTATTTTATGTGGAACTGTTTTATGCCTGTTCCACCATAAATTGTAACTGGCCATCATTGCTTACCGACTTCTATATAGTGATAGAATAGGCAAATCGTGCTCTATTGTTAATTCAGGTAACCAGACCAGTGCTGGGAATGTCCTCTCCCCACGGTCCCTCCAAGGTAATGAAAAGCACCATCTGGCCTTGGGAGCTTTCTGTTGAACCCGAAGACGTTTGGGAGGTTTTATTGTTTAGCTTTTTTGAGTGCTTGGGATGCAAGTGGTTCTAGGCTGAGTGAGCCCTGCCAGTGGCTGAACTGGCAATGGCAGGCCTCAGCTGAGCTTGATTCATAGTGACAGCTCTTCTCTCTGCAATGCATAGGAATTGGGGGGACAAAGAAGGGCACCACTCACAGATCATTATGCACGCTTAGCATCTTCAACTTAGAAGCACTTTGTTCTTCCAAATAATGCTTTTTCAAACGTGGGTGGTCAGCCTTCCTTCCTCTTTCTCCTTGCCAACTAGACTGTGGCCTTTGTTTCAATCCTACCACCTCCCTGCACACTCCCCACCTCCTCATCTCAGCTCCGCCTGTGTGTGTATGTTTGGAGAGCGTGTATCTGTGTGTGTGAACAATGTGAGAGAAAGTGTGTCTCTGCCGTCTGAGTGTCACTGCTGGACTCTGATGGATGTCTTTGGTGCTCTTTACAGAAAGAAGCAGATGCCATTGATGACACGCTGAGTTCCAAACACAAAGTCAAAGAGCTGTCGGTGATTGACGGTCGCAGAGCTCAGAATTGCAACATTCTTCTCTCGAGGTATTGTGGATGTGGAATAGACATTTTGAGTAGGACCAGCCTTTTCTAGTATGTGGCTCAAAACTACGTTTGTAATTTTGTCTTAATTGTACCCTGCTGAGGTACAGCTCTCTGGATTCTCTTCTGTTATAATGAGGAGAACCCTTGGTGCTTACTGTCTTTCCCTGGTGGGATAGATCAGAACATACTTTCTCAGAGTTTAATTTCCACAGACAGAACACCCTAAGTCACTCTATTCTTCTCAGAAGGCCTATAAAGTGAACTTGACTTTTATTTACATTTCTTGGCCTTAGAGATCTGCTGGTTGTTGAGTGGGGCTGTCACAGAGTCAGGACTGAGATGAAAGCCCTGTATTTTACTTTGCTTTCTCATGCCACCTTTTTATATTTCGAGGTTATATGATTTCATGCTCTTTTTGAGCAGTTTTATGGCTAAAAGGATATATAAGTCTCAAATCTCCATGAAATCCTAAATTAGCCAGTTCAGCCCTGTTCAGAAATCTTTCTCATAATTAGTGAACCCTTGGAACTTGAAAAGAAGAAAGGAAATTTGGAAGCTGGAACCGATTGCAGCTTCAGGCAACACTGTGGGTCGTTCCAGGCATTTCAAGCAGCTCTTCTGTACCCAGCGTCTTCTTTTCCCTAAAGGGGACCTTCACATTAGGCAGAGACACCTGCTGCTTATGGGGCGAATGAAAATGTAAAGAACATTGAGTGTTGTGGCTTTAAAGACAAGTTGCATTCTGGAAGGAGGGTTGTTGTCCACATTGGGGCTGGTGTAAGGCGCCTTCTCCTTCAGGGAGAAGGGAGAGGGAGGGTACTAATGCCTTTTACTTAGATGGTCTCAGAACAAATGTCTTTTACCTCAGAGCTGCTACCTCCTTTTCATCAAGGAATCTTGATTGTTAGCCAGATATATATTACATTAGGGAGCAAATGTTTCTTTTAGTGAAAGAGAAATTGAAACCTTAGTGAGATCCCTGAATTTTAATGCAACTGGCAAGGTAATATGAACCATCCTGTTTGCATTTCATTTCTGCCTCTGGCAGAAAGCTTTGCAAATCGCCAAGCCCTGTATTTATTCTGACTTTTGCTCCATAAACCATGCGCAGGTTAGATATAATCTCCATCTGCTTTAGGAAGATACCGTCGCAAATCATTTCAAGATCTACTCATTTTTCTTCTATAGCAGGCCCCCATATCTGTGGCTTAGCTTTCTAAGGTTTCAGTTACCTGTGGGGTAGTACAAGAAGCTATTCCGAGAGAGACAGGGAGTGAGACCCTGCCTTCACCCACGCCTCATCACAGTGTGCTGTTACACGGGTCCCCATCTCCCACGGTGCCTAATTTATAAATTAAACCGTGTCATAGGAATCTATGTGTAGAAAACAAGCATAGTACTATTCTTAATAGCAAAATTAAATGAACATTTGAGGAAAGTTGTGGGTTTTTTATAATCTGAGGTTTTCTCCCTGTATTTGGTGTGTGTGCAGTCAGTATGCACCAGTTACAACCCCTGGCAGAGGGAGCACTTGCTCTGAGTCTCTGCAGGGCTGAGATACTCGCTGAGTGAAACTGTGACCTGGCTCCTCACAGACAGATGATTCAGCACTAAAGGTAAAGGAGGTTACACTAGTTACACAGAAGGTTACAACTCTTTCTGCAAATTTCCCATGCCATTATTGAATTATTATACATTTGTGGGATATAATTCCCTTGTTCCCTCAAAAGTATCAGAGCCCAAGGTGACTTAGAACCTTAATGTGTCTACACTCTCTTTAAAAGCCAGTTTAAGAGGTGGCCTCATCCCTGTTAGATTACTTATTAAAATCCAATTTAATGAATAAGTATTTTCCAATAAGCATGACTACACAGCGTGTCATGTGTGATGGAGTAATTTTGACTCCCAGTTGACCTTATGGTATCTGGACTCTATTGATCAGGTTCTAAAACCATCTCATTTTACTCTTTAATCAGGAACCCACAGGTTGACATTTTAAATGTATCGTAGCAAAAGGGATAGAAACTAAGCAGGTTTGATTTAATTGTATTTTATTTAGTTGTTAACCAGTCGGCAGTTCACCTTTAATTCTCTCTTTGCCATTGTCAGCTCATCAGTATGCTCCAAAGGAGGTCGGGTTAGAGGAGGGACGAAGCCGGCGTGGTCCTCTCTTCATAGACAGTCCCCACTTGGGAGCACTGATTTACCTGGCACTGGGCTGAGTGCCGTAGGGCATACTAAAACTTAAAATAATTACAAAATGACCTAAAATGAGAAGAGGGAAATACTCTATCTTAACCGTCCTAATGCCACAACCCTTTAATACAGTTCCTTATGTTGTGGTGACCCCCAACCGTTAAATTATTTTCGTTGCTACTTCGCCACAGGTTGAGAACCACCGGCATAGAGTTTTAGATCTAAGAGTCTGTAATTTTGACAAGAGAAGAACTCAGATGAAAATATTTTCCTCGTAATCAAATTCAGCAAAAATGGAGTTGGTAAAGGGCCTGTAAAATTGGTTGCAAGTTTAGACAAAGAATAATGCGGGGGGGGAAAAAAAACCCCTTAAAATAATAGCTAGACCTTGCTACAAGGCAAAAGGATTGCATTAGCCCAGGAGTTCAAGGCCAGCCTGGGCAATGTGCAAGACCCTGTCTCAAAAAAGAAAAAAAGGTTTCGTTAAATTTAAGATGGTGTTGCTGCTTTTGAAAGCTCATGGATAATTGGAGAAGAAAACCAACATCTCTAAAAAGATTTGTGAATGATCAGGGGCTTGTTTTGGTCTGCTGGAAGGTTCAGGGGGCTCAGCCACAGGAGAGGGGCACGGGCAGGGGCCTCAGAGGCCAGGGCCGTGGTGTGCATCACAGGGGGCGAGGGGGCCTCGCGTCAAGGATGCAGCAGCAACAAAGACACCAGAGGTATCTAAGCAGAGCTGCTGAAGAGGCCCTGGGCTCATACCAGGGATTACTGGCTGTGTGGGGCAACACCAGGCAGGATGCATCCATACAAGCTGTGCTGGCTGTGCCTTTATAAGGGCATGTGTCAGCCCAGCATTAAGTCGGAACCTCCTCATTTGTAAAGTGGAGATCCTGGAAGTAGCAGCCTAGCTGGGGGCTTGTGCGGAGTGCTGGCTGCTCAGTTAACAGCCCTCAGGTTCCGTCTGCTCAATTAATGGCCTGTTTATATGCACATAGGATCAGGAGTCTGGGCAGTTCATTAGAGAGAGAACAATGTGTGGCTTTTAAAAATAAGGTTTGGAGTTTGGTCTCTCAGGGGTTTGCAGGACAGGTTGCAAGGGGTCAAAAACTGGACCCTCCGCCATCAGAGACAAGTGTCTCTCAGTTGTCCAGGTGAATCCAGATGGGGGAGAAGAGGAAACCCTGGGTAGAGCTCAGAGACTGGTTTTGTGCAGAAGGATGTGTAGGAATGTTTCAAAGATGCTGTCAGAATTTCCATACTTGGTCTCTGTTGCTTACTTCATTCCTAAAGGTTGGCAAACCTCTATTTCTTATCTTGCTGACTGGGGATTTATTTACCAGCAATGTGGTCACTACAGCAAAGTCTACCAGGATAAAGCCTGTGGTGTGTTCCGTGGGCTGTATTTCAATAAGTGCTTGTGTCCACAAAATCGGTTATACCGTAAAGCTCTTCCTCACATCCTTCAAATGTTCGAGGACCCTTGGGTCAAGGCACCTACCATAGTTTTGCCTGGAGTCAAGGGGGTAGCGAGAAGGGGCCAGGCAAGGAGGAAGTGCCGCTGGCCTCGTGTCTGAGGGAGCTGCTGTGAGTGGCTGGGCATAGGACCTTGCCTGTCACAAACTTAGGGAAAGCATGGAATGACCGTGAAGTACCTGAGAATGAGAATTCGTCCTTCCAGCCCTTGGCAGAGTGAGCACTTTCTCTACTGTATGTGTATGGTGGGGTAGCAATTTAAAATCGACTGTTTAGTTCCTGAAACAGACCTCTCCCCTCCAGAAAAGAAGAGAAAAGAAACTTGGAAACAGCTGTATATTGCAAAGTGAGCCCACCTGACACCCAGTTTCCGAAGCGTCCTGCCACCCTTTTTTCCAGGTGCTCATGTACATGGCGGCCAGGGTGCAGCAAACCACAAAAAGCAGCCTCTTTAAAGTATGAGGATTTGGCTTCAGTTCACTGAAGGAAGAGCTAAGGCTCATGTAGCCATCCCTTCCTAACTTATTGTAATTACATCTGGATGTTCCAGTTCTCTTGGCAAATTTTTGAAATACTTGAGTAGAGCAAGGTAGAGTTCAATTCTGTTTTAAGATGGCTGGTTTGCTCCCCGCCTTATAAAGAAAGTTGAACTGGTTGACTCCAAAGTTGCCACCCTGCAGCTCACCAGAGCACTGCCAAGCTTTAAAAGCAATTAAAGGGCTAGAATGTGTAGGGTCCTTAAATTACAGAGATTAGAGACTCATTCTGTGGGTAACAGATGATCCTAAGAACCGGCAACCTATAGAGCTCTCCCCAAGGGTGGGGACCCTTCTCTTTCCCCCAAGGCAGGTTTTCTTTGTCTGATTCAACAGGCCACGGGCCTGCTTCATGCTGACAGGTAGACTTTCCTAAGTACTGTCCATTAAAGTCTCAAGTCTCTTTGTGGACCACATTAAGAGAAACCAAAATTGTTGTGAATTAGAGCTAGTGTTTAGTCCAGACAGCCTCTGGGGGTTGAGGAGCATAAATATATACAATTTCAAAAGCAAGAAGTTCTGCCGTCCATATGGGGAGCTAACGAAATGTAAATCCGATACTTCAAGTGTTGTTCCCACTCTGATTTTCAAGTCCTTTTCTTTTAAATGCAAAACAGAAGGACTTAATGGAAGGACACCATAAAATGGTTTCTTCAGCATGGTGTGAAAAAGACTCAGAACTAACTTATTTTTTTCTTACCCTTCTCGTGGTAACCATAGATGTGTTCACAGGCAGCTGGTTTGCACCAGCGGCAGCTTCACCCTTCCCCCACGCTACTGCCCCTTGGCCTTGCCCGCCACACCATGGGGTTTGCACTTAAATTGATTCAACAGATTCAGTGTCCTGGAATCTTGGGCTACCTAGGCCCGTGCAGTGATACGGCTTTTGATGCCATGCTATGGCTTTTCCCCTGCTGTATACTTTATCCATGCCAGCCAAGCTAACCTGTTCATTTAAGTGTGGGGACCTCCTCTCATGGTGTTCTGGTGAATGACCGTGTTTGCATGATCATCAGGCAGTGATTGTCTCAAGAATGACTAAAACCTCTGGAGAGGTCTGCCAGGACCAAGGTTGCTGCTATGGCATAGGGGTTATGCTGCCACCACGTTTGCGATGAGGTATTAGAATGGAGCGTATTAATATGTGTTAATTACGTGGACAGTGTGGCACTTTGCCTAGAATGCTGTATTTGGATTTGAGGCCATGAAATAGAAGAGCAGGGTATTCACGTGACAGGATTCCCAGATTTGTTCTTTCTCTTTCTCACTGGCACATGAAACAAATTGTTTAAATAGCAGGGTGGTAAGTTTTCACGAAATCGTATCTAAAGTGTAGGGACAAGACACGCCTGGGTGTCCATGGTGGGCACTCACCCTCGCACTCCTGGGAAGCCAGGGAAGTGTGCACGTCACTCACCTTGCCTCATGTTTCAGCTGATCATCAGATTCTCCCAAAGGTGCTGATCCCCTTACAAATAAGAACCACATCGTCTAATTCCTTTTCAACACTCCAGGCCTTTGGGGAGCTCATACACAGAAAGGAAGCCCTGGTGGAGTGATGGCTGCGAGAGCTCTGGGAAGTGCTCACAGTAGCCACATTAAGAATTATGATCTCTTGGCTGCAGGTGACTATTATGGCTGTGCAAGTGCTGCTGCTTCTCTCTTGGTATATGAAGTCAGCCCTGTAGGGTGGTTTATCCAGCCCTCTTTGTGGCAGGAGCTAGTCTAAGCACCTCAGGTGCATTAATGTACTCAATCCTCACGCATGCACATGCACAGAAAAATCCATTTGGGGAGGAGGTACTTATTGTTTCTATAATACAGTTGAGGAAACTGAGGCTTAATAAAAAGCTTTTCTGCAGTCACACTGACCAAGAAACGTCAGAGCCAGGACCGGGCCCCACTTGTCTGACACCAAAGCTCCTACCTTCCGGTTGCTCCTGCCAAGGCGCACGTCTTCTCTGTATTTGTGTGTCCATGTCTTTATCTTCCAGCCCTAAATATGATTCTTCCTGAGGAGCATAGATGAAAAGAACAGATCGAGTACAAGGGACTTTACCTAACAAATGCAGTCAGTGTGACCTGGTTTCTTGTACCCTCAATGAATCCCCAACAATTAAAAGAAAGAGAAAAATAGGGAGACTCCTGTGGCTCAAAGGAGTAGGGCGCCGGCCCCATATACTGGAAGTGGTGGGTTCAAACCCAGCCCCAGCCAAAAACTGAAAAAAAGAGGAAAAATAAATAAAAGAATAGATCAAGTGATGTGAACATGTAACACTAGTGGTACGTTGCACAGAAGTAAGATTTTGGAGATGACGGTGGATCTAATGCTTACAGATAGAACATGTTTTATGGCCAACACTTGTTGTTTTGCCTTAAGATACAAAGTTTTGATTAAATTAGTAAATCATTTAAGTTAATGGCAGACAGAAGAACAGATTTGTGCTTTAGCTTAAATCCTTCCCTATGCAATAAGCAATATTTGTAAAAAGAGCCTGGGATTGGTGAACAGGTCTTAGGGTTGTGGCTGTCATTTCCTGTGTTTGACCGTGGGCAGACCACTTGGCCATTCTGAGCCTCAGTTTCTCAATTTATGTTTTAAAAACAGCCATCATAGTTATTTTGAGAATTAAATAATATATGTGGAAAACCTCTCAACTATGAAGTGTTTATATTAACTACTGTCCAGCTTTTAAACACTAACACGTAGTTTCTAATCGTCTGAAAATCCTTTTTTTTGTTTTCTCTCACAATAACCTTTAAACGTGCCTGACATGTAAACAGGTCCTCTCACCTGCAATTCATGAATACTGTGAGTTGGGTGTTTCCCCTATGTCTGATCTCCCAGTCCTTTGCTTAAGGAAACTAAATCACGGGACACAGCAGCCTTGTTCCCTGTGTTAGCAGAGCATTACAAAACCCTGAAATGTGAACGCAGTTTCAAAATCCTATTTCTAGGTGCAGTATTGTCAGGAAATAAGGTTTCACTGAGAGATTTTGAGGAAGAAAGTACATGAAAATCAGCAGCTGAAATTTATGCGTTAACTTTTAATACTCCCACCAATATTGTTAAGCACAAAATAAAATATTCTTTCTCCAGGTTGAAGTTATCCAATGATGAAATCAAACGGGCAATTCTGACAATGGATGAACAGGAAGATCTGCCCAAGGACATGTTGGAACAGGTGAGCTCCAGGCGGGTCTCAGAGCACCAGGGACCCCTGACTTCAGCCCAGGGTGGGATGTTGAGAAAACCCAGTTGTTGCTCGTAAATACTCCCCTTATCTCTGAATTGAGGAGGCTGACCCAAGCTTCCACGCGGCTCTACCTGGAGTCTTCATGGCTATATTCTCTCATTGTTCCCAAAATGGTGGGTAAGAAGGCAGGTCATGGGTTTGTCAGATTTTGCTCCTGAAGCTATGATTGCGTTATTATGCCTTAGTAACTAACCACATAAATCTGGGGTTAGGAGAAAATCTATATTTCACAGGGATTTAGAGACGCTGACCAGTGCCCTGAGAGCATATACCACACTACTGGTTGAGTGCCAGCCTCTTCGTATAGTTGGGTCTTGGTCTCAGCTCACTGTTCCCACAACCACAAAGCCGCCGGTCCACCCCCAGCCTGTCATGTGCATCCAAGTGTGTGCGTGTGTCACAGGCGGTTTGTGAGTCTCTTGGGGCTGAGCAGGGCTCTGTGTGCAGCCTGGCCCACTCTGTGCGGGAGACTGCAGCAAGCAGGGGGTTCCAGCAGTCCACACGCACTTTGTCTGTGGTGTTCTTGTGGAGTTTCTGTCAATGGTGGCCAAGCGGCCAGTGTAACGTGGTGACCTGGACCCCCCACATGCTATTTCCGTGGCATTTCTGTGCAGGCTGTCTGACCACAGCACATGCTCCTCCGCAGCTGTGTTCACTTGCCGCCCACAGCACAATATTGCTGAACTAGCACATATTCCAGGACTGTCCACCTGTCCCTGCTCCTGCCCCTTGGTCTGGGCCTCCGTGTTTCTGTCCTTTGTGGTCATAGTCTCAGAATGCTCTGGCCTATTCCCTGCTTCATCTCATTATCCTGGGGATGGAATCATTTTGAGTGATTTTGGTCCAGAGGTCCACTTAAGGCTGGCGTGGGTGTCAGTAGCTGTGACTCTCAGCTTTCCTCGAGGCCTTGCCTCAGACGCGCTTAGTTCCACAGGTGGAGGAAAAGGGCACTCTGCCCTAGTGCGGCTGCTC